GAGGAGGAGGGGGGGGGTTGCGAAAGGGGTGTGATAAAATTTATATCGCGTCATATAACGGTATCGGCTATCCGCGCCCAGGCTATCGGGCTCGTAACACAAATCTTCCTCGCGTTCAACCACGCATGATACATCTCCCTTGCGATTCGTCAATGTCCGTGCAACGTCCTTCTCCACCGTCGAATCGATTCTTCGTCCCCCCTCTCTCCCTCCCCACCGACCATTTCGCGATTTCAAAAATAGCATAGATTTTCGGATTCTATCGACCAAATGATTCGTACATTCGCGAATTTTCAACGACAATTATTCCCAATTATCGCGGAATTTTCTACTCGAGAATGGGGAATCGTTCGATGTAATGATCGGTAGCGGTGCGCAAAAAAGAGAAACGATCGGCTCGAATTTTCGAAAATTTCGAGACACGGGGAGGAAGGGAGGGTGGGTGGAGGAATGGGTAGGCTCGTTCCTCGTGGTAAATGTATTGTCCCCGGGGACAATGGAGGGGCTGATTGCGAGCCGGTCGGGCGAAAAGTCGAGCCGAAAATAAAGCGAATCGGTGAAACGGGCCTTTCGCCCGCTGCCAAACGCAGCCACTCGGAATAGTCGGGGGGATCCGAGCCCACCTCGCTCTCTCTCTTTCTCTTTCTCTCTTCGACTTTGCTATTTCATCCCTTGTTTGTTCGTCGTTTCGAGCAAAGTACGACCCGATACCCGGCGCCGGAAATCGGAGGGGAATCGTTGGGGATGGCTGTGCGCGCGACTCGCGAAACTCTGCTGACGCTCTTTTCCGACTCTGCGCCATCCTTTGTTCGCGATCGGCGTTGGTCGAATCGAGTCGAGGGATGGAGAGGGACGAGGGGGTGGCCGGTCTCGAAAACAGGGAGGAAGAAGAGATTTTTTAACGAACGGCCGCGCGCGGAGAGCGAGGCGTGCGACGCGTGACGAATGGATCGAGAGAGTTTCCGCCATCGCGGTTTCCACGATTTTTTTTTTCCCATCGCTAGTCTTCGTAAGGGGAAGATTTTAACGAGTATCGATTTTTTTTCACGTTTTCACGTTTCGAAAGGGATTAGAAGAGAAAAAAACGAACGTGGTAACAAGTTGTACAGGAGATTCGTGTAAACTCTCTCGATTAAGCGATCGAAAAACAAGCGTTAAATTTTAATCTACGACCTAATAGGGATAGCGTTTTCGACGATTAATTCTCGTCGAAAATACAATTTAGACAACAATTAATAATCGAAATTGAATTTTGTTATGTTGCGTATACGTTTATTTTCACGAGCAACCAAGAAGTTATTAATTATTGGTTGGACTAATTGGTCGATGTTAAATTATATATTATCGGCACCATATTGTTCTCTATGCGCTTTTAATCGAATCGTGAATCGAATGCTTCCAAAATTGGTCGGCTTATATTTCCCCAGGGAAGAGCGACAATTGCCTCGAAGGGTTCGAAAAAAAAAATATATATATATACACACACACACACACACAAATGATAACGCGGATAATAAGCGAAACGTTGCAAAGAAAGTGTTCAAAAAGCGTTTGAAAGGCCGACAAGATCCGCGCCCGGAGGAAAATTAAATACGTTTCGCCCTCGTACCGTTTCCCGTGAAGCGCGCGTCCGAGCGTTCACCGTGGAACAAAATGGATTCCCAAGGTGTACGTCACTCTTGTCCACCTCTATTCTTTAAACCCTCTTCTTCCATTTACCGCATTGTAATTCCGTCCGAACGGTTTCGCTAGTGGCAAGTCGCTACGTGCCGGGCATGTCAGATCCGAATATATAAAACTGGCTGGGAGAAAGCCGGTCCCCGGCTTAACGTATCGTCAGCACGTGTCGTCGGCCTCGACGTCGCCGTCGTCGTCGTCGTGCTCGTCCTTGCCATTATTATGGCGGTCGCGCGGCCGACCGTAAATAATTTGTATCGGATGCTCGTTAAGTGAACGGCTCTTTCGAATCGGCACGAAAGGAAGGAGAGGAGAAGAGGGAGAGAAAAGGGATCCGTAACTTTTGAACCGATATCGATATCTCAGGGATATTTGGAAACGAATCGTCCACTTGGCCGGTGACGTCGATTGATTTCCGATCGAGAGGCTAGGCGAGAAAATTATCGAGCCGCGCGTTGAAAAGGGAGTAAAAGACTCACAGTTCAGGTAGAGGACGATTCCAGCGACGAATACGAAGATAACGATAAGGAGGACCAACAAGAGCAGCACTATGGTAAACCTGCACCAAGAATTGGCCACGACCTCGGTCTGCCTTCCGTCTTTCGCCCGTTTCTGATCGATCACGCTCGATTCCCCGCTGACGTTCACCACCACGCCCTTGTACGGATACTGGGGAGTCTTTTTCTCGGCCAGGAACCCGTGATCGTCCTCGGGGTCCGAATAAACGCCGTACGCCTCGAAATTGTTCTTCCTGTAACCGTTCATCTTCTCCGCGGCGGTCTCCTCCTGATCCTGCGCCTTCCTCCCGTAACCACCGGACGAGGAGGTGGTCCCCAACTCGCCGATCTTCAACGTCTGATCGTACGATTTGTCGTGCAGGTAAGTCCTCGAGGACGAGGACCCCTCGTACTTCGCCCTCTCGTAGCTCTTGGAGCTGGTCAACTCGTACTTGGAATCGTAGGGGGTCGTCCCCTGTTTGTCGTACGCCTGCTCCTCCTCGTACTCGTACGATCTCGTGCCACCCTCGTACGACTTACCGGTCTCGT